AAACTTGTAGAGCTCGTTAGCAAAGGTAATCGCACACGCCTGCGTGCTCGCGAAACTTGTAGAGGTAGGAGATGGTGATCCAGGAATCGAAGAACATCGATTGGAAGAATCGCAGCAGAGATCCGACGTTTGCGGCAGAGATGGGCTCCATTGACATCATCGTGACGGTGCTCGCAGTCAAGGGCTCCGTTTCGACCGTGCCTGATGAGCCCAGAGACGAGGAGCCAGACGAGCTGCTGCTGTTGTTCGATTCTTCCTCCGATGCATCGAGGTCCCTAATCTGTAGCTCCTCATCGCCGTCCATCGTCTTAATCTCCTTACCTTTCCTGTCCCCCATCTGATAGATCTGCCCTCGCTAGGCAAGAGCAGCTGCCCAGGGGAGCAGAGTAGTCTACTACTCGCAGAGGAGTGGGTGTATAAATGATCCGACCGTCCAATTGATTTCGGTGGCCGATGATGTGTCCGCGATCGCGCACCTCACCCCTGCACGTCGCGTGTCGGCAAAAGAAATTGGAAAAGAAAACCACTTTTGCCCGCCACTGGTGCGGAGGAAGTCGGTCTGTTTTGCGAGTTGTGCACCACCCAACCATCTTAGCTCCGTAGACCACCAGCATACCGTACCACTGACGAGAATGCCCTCGCATCACCCTCACGCCGTCCTCCCTTTCGGATTTTCCGTATTATAAAACGCGTGCTCTGGTGACGCCCTCACTTGGCGGTGGCTGACGATGCTGGAGTGCGGTCCACGAGATCGCCGCCTTCCTCCCTCATCCGACTGTCGCTCGGGGCCTTTGTCGTGGTCTTCGACTTCTTCACCTTCTTTTTCGGCTGCAGCCTCTTCCTGCGGCCCGCCTCGACCTCCTCCAGGTAGTCGCTCTCATTCTCCTCGTCCTCTTCGTCTTCGAGGTAACCCTCCTCCACGCCCTCGCTCTTGGGCACGAACGGCTCGGAGCTCTCGAAGCTGGCCAGCTCGTTCAAAACGTCGCACAGGCTCACGCACCCGATCGGCACCTTACCCCCTCGCTTCCTCTTCCGGTTCATCGGCTCCTGACACGCACCACCGCACATTCACACGGGCAGACCCTTGTCAACTACGGGCTATGAGAAAGTGAGGCCAGGCGTTGGTACCGGTTGATCG